CCCTGTCCTGGGAGTGTTTGATGGGGGACAGTGTAGAGGGAGCTTTAGTCTGAGTAGGTGATGGTACTGCTAAATGGGTAGGTGCTAGCTGAGTGGGGGCACGTACTGATTCTGTCTCTGATTTTATCTGCGTGTTGCATTTCAATTCACACTCAGTCTCTTTTTGTAAACATAGGGGTCGGGAGCTGCTCAGATCGTCTGGAAACAAACTCTGTCTCCTGGTGGCGAAGTCTGATTCGGAGATGGCAAGGAAAGTGTTAACATTGAACTGCTAGTCTGAGTGGAGCAGAGATGGTAAATGCTAAAGCCAGTGAGGGACAGTACAGACCCTGCGACTGCCTGGAGGTGCTTGCAGAGAGCAAATATATATTTCAGTATTTAAGTCCAGTTGCCGTGTTGAACTGGGGCATGTCCATTGAGGGGTTAGTGTTAGTACCTGCCCACTCACTGTATCTCTGCCTTTAACCAGTGTGCTGAGCTCGGGAACTCCAGTGGAGTAGGGAGCAGGGTTCCCCAGGATTGTGGAGGGGTCATTCCCTGGGATTGAGGGGTATTTTACAGGATTCCCAATTGGAAGAGCACATGATACTTTGTAACCCCACCCCAATTATAGTATCACTGGCTCCTGTTTACACCCTTCCTTGGACTGTTATTTACCCCCCCTTCCCCACCATCTCCTGTTTACCCCCTGGCTCCTGTTTAACCCCTTCCCCACCGTCTCGTTTATCCCCTGGATCCTGTTTACCCCCATCCCCCACCAGCTCCTGTTTACCCCCCTTCCCCACTGTCTCCTGTTTATCCCCTGGCTCCTGTTTACCCCCATCCCCCACCGTCTCCTGTTTACCCCTCTCCCTCCCCCCCCGGCTCCTGTTTAGCCCCCTCTCCAACCCCCTACATTACCCTGGAGTGCGATGCTGTGCTCGGAGTGAGTTTGTAACAGGGAGGGAGAGGAGATGAGAGTGGGCAGGAGCTCGGAGCTGGTGGGTTTGATTGGAGTTTGGTGCCAATTGTTTGGGAAGAACACTTTAAAAGTTGAAGTTTACCTTGTTTCACATGTTTGTTACTGCCTGCTGTTGATGTTGATGTTGATGTTTAACACTGACACAGATTCTGATAATCCCCAGTCCCCGGCCCCCCATGTATCTAATAAAATGTTATTGTCACGTTACTTGGTGTCAATGGTCATAGAGCATGTTGCAACCAGACAGCACCATGTCGCTCTGCCATGCAGACACTGTAAGCCAAATCCAGATACAAGTCTTTTTATTCTTTATGACATGGTCAAACTCCAAATCCAGAGCAGTTTCTATAGCAACAGATGGCATGCACTATAATCTGATGACTTCAGACTGAAAATTTGAGGACTTGCTTTTCCAACATATTTCACTTTGATTCCTGCTCAGCCTGATTTAACTTCACCAATCAGTTCCACTGTTTGACTTCCTCCTGTTCCCCATGGGTACATAGTGACTCAAACCAGCAGGATGGAAGAAATTCTTTTTCCCTGTTTGTAACTGAGGTTTATCTGACCAGTAAATTACACCACCGAAATGTCGGTCAAACCCACCACTGTCTGCATTCTGAGGAAAGAACCTCTACTCACTGCCCTCTGTACTCTACAGTGCAGAGCTGGCACTGTGCCCCCCTCACAGTGCGGAGCTGGCACTGTGCCC